TTGAAATTAAGGGGCAGGGAAAGGAAAAAATGTAGAAATTGAATTCAGGTTGTAAAAGAATGAGAAAACGTCCCTATTGGACATATTTACAAGACTCAATTGGTTAATAGCGAGCCCTTAACAACTAACTGATCGAGGAAGAGAGGGTAGAGCACCAAGCTGGGGAAAGTATGCTCCCAACCAAAATTGAGCGAGCCAAGAGGCCCACTACCAGTGGGAGATGCACCATTCTTCAAATGAAGCTGGATGGAAGTCATGCCTCTATAATGGGCGGCTAAGAATAATGAATAGAGGTTTAAAGACCTACTAAGCGCTAATTTATGCGCTATGGGCAGATAACTCATGGAAGGTTTCATGCTGGGCACACAAAGCACGTATTTACAAAGCCAAACCTGAAGAACGGCCACACGCTCAGCATAGGAAGGTTCAGCTCTAGAATTAGTATATATTTCTTGCATGCTCGAATAGGAATCAGTAAATTTCTTGTCAAATTTTGGGACAACAGCAGTAACCAGGATGCCAAGAAAAATGGTGTCGCCCAAGGGCGGAAGGTTTACTGGGGCTCCAACGTCCCTCAGGGTAATAGACATTGGGCCAAGGGGAAAGATAAAAGTATTGTACTCAGAAGACCAAAAACCTAAAGCAATAGGGAAAAACACCGGGTCATAAATTGGGGGACGGAAAGCGATTTCTAATAAATTCGAAACCCTAGCACTATCAAAAATCGCCTTAGTAGGGCCATGACTTACCATACGTACATGTCACATACGCAAAGTAGTGCCAATTTTAGGCCATGTACGAATACATTTCTAGCGAATCGTCTTCAGCAGTAGAGAATTCAGAAAAGGAGGATCTTGAGTGTAAGGGAATAGATGACTCACCGCCGCTTGCCCAATAGATTTAGCATCATTAAACAACGGTCCCAGATAAAATTCATGGAGGTCAGAGTTGGTTGGTGAAAGAAAAGCTGAATTTATATACGTCTTGGTAAAGAGGTTTTGGAAATCCTCGAAACTAAGGGAGTTGTCGGAAGGAATTTGTGAAGTCGTCATTTGATGCAAAATGCAGCCTTTGTGAAGATTGCTTAAGAAACATAGCAGAGAAGTAAGATGATGAACAATGCGGTGAACAGTGAGAGAGAAGCACGCAATGTAAAGACATAGGTGTAATGGCGAGATGAAGTGGTGTGTCCTTTGGTTTATAGGGGTTATGTGTGTTATACTTTTCAGAATGTAGAGGGTTATCACCAAACGGAAATAATAATTGTAATTTTCCGCCATTTTGGGATTTCAAGTATTGTCAGAAAATACAAAGGAAGAATATGGCATAAGATTAATACTTGATATTAATTTTGGCATATTGGGGGGTAATTGTTGACATACAAAATGAGGCCCAATTAAATGGTTCAAAAAATAGAGCTCAGTTAGGGAATTTGAGGGATAGGCCCAAATGGGACCATTATAAAATATAGTGGAGGCCCATAAACGGAGGACTATCATTGCCCAAACCTGCAGGATGCCCAAGATCAGAGCAAATGAAGTACCTTATTGTCGTTCAAAGCGACGGTCACATTATCGCCCAAGCCTTCGAGACGCCCAAGATCTGAGCGAACATAGCGTCCTATTGTTATTTAAAGCGACGATTATTGAAACGGTTATTGAACAATCTTATTACGTTCTACGATCCAAATATCTCAGTTGCAAGCAGTTAAAAGAGGGGAGCAATAGCAGCAGTTTAAAAACGACGGTTCCTCGATGCGTCAACCATTATGAAGCAAGTGGGTAGTTATAGAGCGACAATCAGTTTCCAAACAATTTTACAAAGAAAACTGACAAAGGAGTATAAAAGAAAAAAGAAGACATTGAAGGAATGATCCCGAATTAATCACTCTCAAACAGAGAATTATGTAATTTCATTTCATTTAGTTCTTATTGCCAACTTTCAAATTACTTTCTGTGATTGTGCCCCTTGGAAGCGTTTTGCTTCCTCCTAATTGTAATTTTCATAAATAAAGCACCCATTGTTGGGACTTTATCTCGAGAGATTTGTTTCTTACACAATTGTCTGAACCATCTTTTAATTGTTAGCGATGCTCGATAATCCCCGCGAAACAATAGTACTTATGTTGTATGCTACAACTACACTAGTCCTTCCAACCATCACATGCTCGAGGGCATCTAGCATTACTTTCTCCGTTTGACTGTTGATGGCACTGGTGGCCTCATCTAACAACAATATGGATGGACTTTTTAGGATGGCACAAGCTATTGCGATTCTTTGCGTCTTGCCACGAGATAACTGCTCCGCCAACACACCACGTGCCATATCCATCAATGTCATCTAATGAAGTCATGATCATTTATTGTCTTTGCTGCCTCAACAACTTCTAATTCATCAATGTCATCTAATGCGCCATACATTACATTTCGATTTATAGTACCAGCAAATAATGTTGGCTCTTAGCTGACAAGTGCAATGTGCTTCCTGAGGGATCTTAAATGATATGACCTGATATCTCGCCCATCAATCTTCGCTACCCCTTTAAGTGGATCGTAAAATCTTTCAATCAAGTCTATAATAGTTGATTTTCAGAGCCACTTTGTCCTACCAGTGCCGTTGATTTTCCAGCCTTGACGTTACTCGAAAATCTTACGAAGACCGTCACATTAGGCCTGGTGGGGTATGCAAAATCAAGACCATGCAGTTCAACATGATTGGTTAACTTATCTGGCATGTACACCTCTAGATGTTTAGGTTCAATTAATGAATATCGATCCAACACTGCAAATACTGATCCAACTACAATAAAACCTTTGGCTAGATCGTTCATCATACTCCGTGCTCACCAAAATCATTTAAGTATGGAACAATACTTTTGCTCCAATGAAGTCTTCTGCAATGAGTTTACCACCATACCAGAAATCTAAAGCCCAAGTGCAAGTCATTAGGTTGTAGGAGGTACCAAGTCCAATTCTAGCAAACCAGTATTGTCGAATGCTCTCCTTTAATGAGCCTTCTTGGACTTCCTCGAGCATTTAGATAATTCGGGCTTGGGACGAAAATGTTGTAACAGTTCAGTGATTGGATACAGCTTCAGCGGCAAGCTTGTTACTTTCATCTTGGGCTTTAATGGTCTTTTCGAACATACTTTTTGGAATGACACACTTACATTAGTTACAAATTATGAAAGTAGTCCGAAATCATAATCATGAACCTAATGAGTCATATATAAAAGTCAAGAACTATAAGAAAGATATTAGACCAAATTTAATTAATTAGATTCACTAAATAATGAGCAAGCTTCTGTTTATTGGGTGGATCGAGTCCAAATAAACATCTATTAATAAGTTACTAGGCATTCGGATTTTATAGCACACATTACAATATTCATATTCTTGCTAGTGCAAGAAAAGGAATTCATAATCTCTCATTCATGTTCTCCCGCTTAGATTACCATTGAAGGCTAGACAATTGGATAACTGTGGTATGAAAAGATCATGGTAGATCAAGAATCGCAAGGAAAATGAGAGGTCATGATTGAGATTCTCAATAGAGTTTGAAAAGTTTACTAAAAGACCAAATTCTATGGTGAAATAAGATACAATAATAGGCTTCATTCTATTAGCAATAGTTTTGGCGACCATTTTATATGCAACATTGCATAAGCACATTGATATTGGTCGAAACATATGTTGACTTATGGTTGATTTCATCCTTAATGTTTTTATCATAAAATTAATATTATTTCTAACAATTGATTTTGAGTTATGATAATTCAATATTAAAATCAATCAATCATTATAATACTCCGAACTTCACATCACATTTGGCCAATACGATCATGCATTTCGTGCTATTTATAATGTCATTTGTGTCTTTGGTTACTCAATTAAAAACATTAACATTAAATCCTACGTATTGCCGTTAACTGCCCACATGTAAGTAATAAACACACTATTTATTACATAAATTCAGCCAAAATTGGAGAGTTAGAGAATTGGGGATTAAGCACATTCTAATGATAACCCCTAATATGGCTTTAATTTTGGTCAGATATTTGGGCCTAAAATGTATGGTAAACATGTATTCTTCTTTTGAACAATGATTTTTGCTGAGTTGACGTAACAAATAACATTGTTTGGTGACATGCTGGGAATTAGCAGTGATACGTAGAATTTAACTTTAATATTTTCTACCGACTAACCATTAATGTATTCATAGGAAACTTGAGTGGTTATTATAGTATGAAAATAACTTCAATGATAATTAACGTAGTTAATCAAACTTTAGCGACCATTTGTCATAATAAACCCAATAACTATGTTAAATATATTTTCATTTTCCATCTTGATTTTGAAAATAAGAACTAGTCCTCGTCATTCGAGTAATTGAATTTCAATATCTATCTCCTTTTTGTTCGACATATATTTATCTTGATCTCCATCTTCCAATTTTAGATAATTATAGAAGTCCTCTGTCAAACCCATATCTACAAACCCAAAAAAATACTTCAAACTGTATCTTATTTTTTCAAAGTAGATTTCTTAGATTAGATCAATCCATGGAATTTTATATTTGAAAATAATTCAAATGCATATGAAGTGTTCTCTAACACTCTTGTCATCGTCACACATACAATCATTTATTATTTCCCATGGCTGAAACATATCATTTATAAGGAATAAATGCTAACATTTCTTGAGCATAAAGCTATTCAGCATGGATATAGAAACTGCGTAATGTATAACAAAAATTATAAGATCAAGAAACTGTGCACTGGAATCTCTCCCAATCTCGAAGCTTTGTACTTTAGCGTATATATACAAATGACAAGTCACTGGTACATCTTGAGCTCAGAGCACATGAGATCACATTTCCCATCTCAACTTTATAAAACATTAAGAACGTTTTTGTTATTGAGTACTAGCTAGCAGGTTAACACCATCCAATATTGTCCAATCCACGTTACCAAATGTATTGTCTAATTACCTAAAAGGAAGTTAGTTGATTACGGAGTTGTTGGGTGTTCTTTGAAGACAAACAAGTGAATAGTATGCTCCGGTTGGCCCTTTAGCCAACAAGGAAGAGTGATTCCCCTTTTCGACCACCTTTCCTTTGTCTAAAACGGCAATCATGTCACAATTTTGTATGGTACTTAGCCTGTGCGCCACAACTACACTAGTCCTTCCAACCATCACACGTTCAAGTGCATCTTGCACCACTTTCTCTGACTGACTATCGAGCGCACTAGTGGCCTCATCTAATAACAATATGGCAGGATTTTTCAAGATGGCACGGGCTATCGCGACTCTTTGCTTCTGGCCACCAGATAGCTGCAGCCCTCTGTCACCACACCATGTGTCGTATCCATCCTTCAGGCCAGCAATGAAGTCATGAGCATTTGCTGCCTTAGCTGCCTCGATAACTTCTGATTCATCAATGCCTTCAGATGCACCATAGGTAATATTTTGACGTATGGTACCAGCAAATAATGTCGGCTCTTGACTAACAAGTGCAATGTGTTTCCTTAGTGATCTTAAGTGATATGACCTGATATCTCGCCCATCAATCTTCACGACACCTTTAAGTGGATCATAAAATCTTTCTATTAAGCCTATAATAGTTGATTTTCCCGAGCCACTTTGTCCTACTAATGCAGTCGATTGTCCTGCCTCAATGTTAATTGAAAAGCCTATGAAGACCATCACATCGGGCCGGGCAGGGTAGGCGAAATCAACACCACGCAGTTCAACATGGCCCGTTAACTTATTTGGTTTGCACCCCTCTGGATCTTCGGGTTCGATTAATGAATATCGATCCAACACTGCAAATACTGAGCCAACTGCATCCGAACCTTTGGCAAGATCGTTCGTCATAGTCCCAGCATCGGCAATGACGCGCCCTGTGCTCACCAAAACCATGAAAGTTTGTAATAGTGCTTGTGCTCCAATGAAGCCTTCTGCAATGAGCTTTCCGCCATACCAAAAATCTAAAGCCCAAGTGCAAGTCATTAGGCTTTGGGAGGTACCCAGTCCAATACCAGCAAACCATGACTGGCAAATACTTTCCTTTTTTGGGCCTTCTTGGGCTTTCTCGAGCATATCGAGAATTCGAGCTTGGGACGAGAACGCTGTCACTGTTATGAGATTGGATACGGCTTCTGCTGCAAGCTTGCTACTTTCCTCTTGGGCTTTAATGGCCTTTTTGGACATGTTTTTCAGAAGGACACGCTTGCAGTAGTAACACATTATGATAAGTGGTTGTACGGCTATCATTACCAATGCAAGCTTCCATGCAATAACCAGACCCATGGTGCAAGCAATTGTAACTGCAGAGAAAGTTTGGATGAGTAGTGCCATCCGATCACCCACCAAAGACCTTACCTGCAAAATTCAAGGCCAACAATCAGTAACAATTATTCTGACTCTTGCTCTCTAAGCTATATTCCCATCACTGATTGAGGAAAAGCGTGAAATTCGTTCCAACAGAAAATTTGAATCTTGAATAGAGCTAAACCTTTACTCAGTTGTCTTAAAAATAAGGGGGAAAAAAATTCACTAAAAAAAAAATGCATTGACACATGACTTTGAGATGTGGATCATCCTATGGGGTAATACTGTCAAAACCAGTGTTTGAAACTAGATTCTCAGCGCTCATTATAAGTACTTATATTACGTCCTAATTATCAACCAACAGAAGAATATAACCAAGATGATAATAGACAGCATCTTCACGATAGAAGGTATAGTTGGTAACATACCACATTGGCATCTTTGGCCAGCCTCGAGCAAACAGCACCAGTCGCATTCTCATCCTGATCAAACCACCCAATTTCAAAAGTGAGCATTTTTGACAGCATTCTCTCTCTGATTCTCTTTGTCAAGTGCTCCCCCATCGCTGCAAAATTATAATGCTGACATATATTGATCAAGAGTGAGAAAATAGCCAGCCCAAGAAAACAAAAGGCATATATTGTTGTTCTCTCCTTAATAACCCTATGATCTGGTAGGAAATACACAGAGATCATTGACCCCATTGAGAATGCATACACTGGCTGAACTGCACCGAATAATACTGCACCTGTACACCCCAATATAGCATGCCTCCACTCGGGCATGTTCATTGCTAGTAGTCTTCTAAATGAAGGTACTGCGACGACTTGATCACTGGAAACCATTGCATTTTCCAATCCTCGACTTGGTGCAGCTGAGTTAGCTGAACTGGACCGACTCATAATTGATAGTCTCCGACTGCTAGTGTTGTGAACATCAGTGTTTGCAATGGATGCTGATGCAATAATACAATTAGCACTTGTATATTGATCGCTTTTTTGTGTCTGTTGAAGGCGGACAAGAGACATGTATAAGCCATGTTCATCTTCAATAAGCTCATCATGTGAGCCCATCTCCATAACCTGACCATTTTGCACCACTGCAATGAGGTCAGCATTTCGGATAGTTGAGAGGCGGTGGGCTATGACGATGGTTGTCCGACCCATGGCTGCCATATCCAGGGCTTCTTGAACCACTCGCTCTGATTCCGAATCCAATGCACTGGTGGCCTCATCAAGGAGGAGAATTTTTGGTGCCTTAATTACAGCTCTAGCTATTGCTATTCTCTGCTTTTGCCCCCCAGACATCTGTACTCCTCTCTCACCCACCTGCATTAGCATACATGTTTGCGTTACCCATACATGAGCAAACATGATTAGTTAACTGGTAAGAGGGATTATGTTAAGACAAAATCAGAATTAATCAACTATGTAATTAATTGTTAATGCAGCGAATAAACAACCATGGTATAGACTTTGACGAGTTGCTAATACATGTTTTCTCAAATAAAGAAATGAACACAGATTACGTATCTGGTGGACGTAATATACGATGCTGTTCATGTCCATGTTCTCTATAATTAACAAACCAAGCAATTATAGTTAAGTTTAATTAAGTTCTCTAAGTTTCTGAAGGTAGCTGGGGAGGGTTGATCTAGTTCCTTTCTTACAATAGTAATAAAAAACTTCATGTTCTATTATTAAAGGCTGTGTTCAACATATTTTAATAATTTTTAATGTAGATCCACTTGACTATAAAAAACACACAAGAATAACAATATGCTAACAACTCAAGTATTTGAATTGTATATTCTTTGACCAACAAACAAAAAGAATCGAAGATCCCGTGTCAATAATGAAAAATAAAAAATGCTAGAGTTAGCGTAATGACATCAAATTACTTTGTAAAGACGAGAGCTTAGCTTGTGGAGAACAAGTGTATAAATTAATCTAAACTTGTGAAAGTGAGGGCAAGTAGTAGGATAAATTAATCTACAACTTGTGAACACAAGTCTTGAAGAGATTCAACCTACATTGAATCTTGAAGAACAAATAAATCCTTCCTAACAGTGAAATTCATATATTGAGTAAAAATTATAGTGAAAAATTATTTCCTTTTCTTATAAGTAATTGCATCTAAATTATAGTGAACCTGCCTTCTCTTCGAACAAAAGCAAAAATAATCTATGTAGCTCCAATGAAAAGTAAGTTTTAAGTTACTTTTAAGCATGATCAAATGTAAAAGTGCAAGCCACACGAACCTGGGTGTCATAACGTTGAGGCAACTGGGAAATAAAATTATGAGCATTTGAAGCTTTGGCAGCTTCAATAACCTCTTCCATGGATGCGTCCTCTTTCCCAAAAAGTATATTCTCTTTTATAGAGGTAGCGAACAGTGCCGGCTCCTGACTCACCAAACCCATTTGTGATCTCAGCCATTTCAATTGCAATTTATCAATTTTGACACAATCAAGCGAAATTTCACCACCCAGAGGGTCATAAAATCTCTGCAAAAGAGCAACCACCGTTGATTTTCCAGACCCACTTCCTCCAACCAATGCTACTGTTTTTCCTGCTGGGATTTTCAGATTGAAATCTTTCAAAATTATGCTTTCTGGCCTTGATGGGTATGCGAATTCAACGTGTTTGAATTCGACTTCTCCCGAAACTTTTTGTAGGATTTGGCCTTCTAAATTTTCTGAATCAATTTCGGGCACTCTTTTTATGACTTCCGTTATCCGTTCACCGGCTGCACTTGCTTCGGAGAAGTACTTTAGGTTTGATAAACCAGCACCCAATGCTCTGTTCAAACAGTTCAAGAAAATTATAAACAGTAAATTCATCAACTAAGGTGCAAAAAAAATTTAAGTTCCAAGAAACAGGTTTGCAAAAGTGTTCAGATTTTGTCCGCAATCAGCATAGGATTTTAGGTTTGCAAAAATTCAGGTTTACATGCTATCAAAATATTCACTTTTAGTGGCTTTTAAACTTGGACGAAGCACAAAATAAATTAAGGCTCCTTTGAAAAGTGAAAGACAGCTTTTGAGACTTAAAAGCTGTTTTTAAATCGTGTTTTGTTAATTCGATTACTTCCTCTCAAATCACTTTCGAATTTAAAAATTAGTTTTTAAAAAAATTTAAGACAGTTTCCTCCAAATAGTTCTTCTACAAGAAGTAAAAGTAAAAGTCATGTCAAATGGCTCCAAGAAAAAGTTAGAGATACTCACAATCCGCCGATGGCGATGGAGGCGCCGACTGCAAAAATAGTGCCACCCTGAGCCCCATGATACATGACCAATCTGCTCCCATAATAAGACAAGACGGACCAAATTGCAAAAACCACAGCATTACTTCCAATGGCCAAACCTTTAGCCAAACCCTGTTTTAATCCCAATTCAACGGTCCCTTGAAGAGCAGCAGAGTATTCAGCAATTGTTTTGCTTTCTCCAACAAAAGAATACACTGTTCGAATAGAAGAAATTGCTTGTTCCACTATTATACCGGCTTTATTGTACTCGTCCCTCATCTTTCTCGCAATGCTCATAAGAGCCCTTCCGTACATTAAACCTGGGATGATGAGAAGTACGATGAAGGGAAATCCCACAATTGCTAGCCTCCAAAACAATATGAATCCCGATATGTACGAACCAATGAATGTCGCTAAGTTCATCACAAAGATTGGAACCTGTTATTTGAATTCCAGACGAGGTTAGAATCCCGAAAATTAAATAGACCATAATCTCAATCATAAGAACTTTAATAAGTAAACGAATATGTTCACTTGCCACTGCAGGCTTTTATTACTAAGGCCGTATTTGATAGGCCACATTTTTCAGGAAAGTAGGAAAATATTTTCCACTTTCCACTTTGTTGGCTGTTTGATAGGCGAAATTTTCACGGAAAATATTTTCCAAATTTTCCCTGCACATGTGCAATTTTCGGATTTTTGATGAAAATGTTTTTCTGCCTTTTTGGTGGGAAAATATTTTCCCGACTGACTGGATTTTTTTTTTTTTTTTTTTTGCAATGGAAAAAAATATTATAACTAATGGTAAAAAAAAATTTCACTTTAATTGTCAATTTTCATNTTATAACCAATTGTGGAAAAAATATCATTTTAATGGACAATTTTCATGTAAAACAAAGCCAAACGAATAGAAAATTTTAAAAAATTTCGGGTGAAAAATTATACCAATCAAACACACTTGAAATCATTTTCCCTGCAAAATATTTTCTAGACAAAATCCTTTTCCTGTAAACTATTTTCTTTCCACCCATTTTCAACCCTTATAATCAAACGCACCCTAAGAGAAAATTTATGATCGATACATCCCATATGTAAAATTTGTAAATAGTTTTATGGCGAATTCCCTACATTTAGAGAATGATCTCACGTTTCTCTTGTCTAAAAAATGATCTCTTCGTAAATCTAGTAATTTTAGGTTATCTTCAATCAATGGATAGGTGAACACTATAATTAGTCTAAGCATAGTCTAAAATATATGTCTATGTAACTAACTTGTTAGTTGATAGTATATAGGACATATTTGGTAGTACAAATAATGCTAGATTACTTAATGATTTATATACAAATGAGGTGTTATAAGAGAGTGGAGAAGTCTCTGTGTGTGTGTGTGTGTTTTTTTTTTTTTTTTTATGTTAAAGAAATTCTGACACAATAATATCTCACCACATTATGAGTATGTAAATTATTAGATACATATAGCACAACCGTGATAATAGAACATGAAACTTAACCCTTTTCTCTTCTTTAATTATGTTCAAATCACCATACATGAGTGACAAGCTTGATAAGTGATCAAATTAAAGAACGTTAATAGCAAGGTTGATATGCATAACAAACAAAAATATTTGAATAATGCTATTGTACATATGATGTATATGATGATGTACATAACGATGACATGGAGGGTAGAAAATGATTATAATAACTAAATTTCTTTTCATTGCATCTCTTGCTTTCTCCATCTCTCTCTCTTTCATGTCATCTCATTATGTACAAATAACAATACTCAAAAATATTTACTTTATTTTCTTCTTTAATCTTATATACTTTACTTATAGCTCGTTTTGCAGAATTTATGCTTCAAGTTTTTGTAGAAGAACTTTATAAAGAAGCTAACTCAGTTCATATTAATTTAAAAACTCTTTCAGTTGAAAAAAGCATTTTTCAAGAATTATTCAAGAATATTTAAAAGTAGATTCTTAATATCTAAATCAACTTTCGACTTTTTAAAACTCATGTCAAATGGACTCATATGAAACTTATCAGATAGAGAAAGAGTTACCAACCTTTTCACTAATGACCTCTTGAATAACAATAATATCATTGGAGACACTTGTAATAACCTCTGCAGTACTAGTTACATGCAAATCAAAGTAACCCACATCTTGTCTCATTACCGCTTTTAAGTATCTTGCTCTTAATCTCGAAGCTTGTCTTTCTGCCGTTCTTGTCCAGCAAAACCCCTCTAAATTAATTAAGAACAAAAATAATCAAATAATTATTGAAAAATCACCAAGAAAATTAAGAGTTAAAATAAGAAACTAAATTTTGTACTTAAATTACAACAATACCTACCAAGAAAACAAGCAAGCCATTGTCCACATGCAATGCAGCACAAAACCACTGCATTCTGCGACACAAGTGCCAAGATCAAGTTTGTATTATTTATCGTTTTCAATTCCGTGACTACAGTTATCTCTTCTAAAATTTAATATGTTGAAAAGATGATATTTATTTATTTAAAATTCATTTTTAATATGATATTCACATAAATGAGATTTATTTTTCAATTAAATTACTAATAGGTACAAAATTTCATAAAAAGACGACGACAAAATTTGAACTTAAATCTTTTATAAGTTAAAATATTAGAGAACGACTACACACATGGGCCTGTTTCATCTTCATTTTTTTTCTTCTTTTCAATCATTCAATAAAATAATATTACACGCAATCAATAAACTTTTCTTCCATTTGTAGTCGTACATTCTACACTAAAAATGAGGTCACACACACCCATATGTTAAGTGACATGCCATAATGTTGTCTTCCACAAGCCCTGAAGTGCATTTTTGCCTAAAAAATGCTTTTTCGAAAAATCCAACTTTTCTATAAAAAAAAACAAAAATCCTCTGCGCCGNATTACATGTAAATTAAAATTATTTTTTCACCATATGGATCCTCTCAAAAAATCACTTTTTCTAAAAAATTAAGGGCATAAATTGCATACCATGAATGGCTATAACTGTAACTCCTGATGAAAAAGAACGTAGCGAAACTGTAGGGGTAATTATCTTTGTTGTCTGCTATTATCGTGTTGGCTCTTTCTTATCCGACTCACCCCACAGAATAACAAATGAAACTCAAGAAAAAATATATATACATACATACATACACACAGAAGGGGGTGGGGTGGGGTGGAGACAAACCTTGTTGACGTTATGAGTGAAATTCTCTGTAATTGAAGTAGTTGCACTGCCAAAATTGTTCATAAGCTTGCTAGTGATTAAAAGCATAGCCGGCATGGAAATTCCATCACCAATGGCTCCCAAGAATCCTAAACTCATCAACACGGCGTCGTGACTATCCGCATGCATGAAAATTGATCGAAAAGAACCATTTTTCTTCTTATTATTCTCCATAATCTTACTCTTATTCCCCATTTTCTGATTTTACAACTGAAAAACAAAACAACACACACAGAGATTAAGGTCTCTACTGTTGTTGTTCTTGTTTTTTTTGCTACAATTATTTGCAGGCTTACTTCTGCAAATATTTTATCATTTAACGAGCTTGATGAGGACGAATTTAGAGACGATATCGAATGTGTATTTATAGGAAAAGTTTTATTGGGATTGATTGAGACTTTTAGGGAGGTGGTGGGTGGTGGGGTGCTGGTGCATACACTGATACACGTACAGACATACACTTGTAAATAAAGAGTATAGAATTGTATAGAATTATGCTATTTCTGCGAGATGCCTGTTATTGATTATTTTAAATATTGTTAAAATCAATGACAAAAATATTGATCACCCTACATCAATCAAACTGTACGTGTAGCAAAATTGAATTGTATATAAAATGGAAGTTTAAGTCCTGTTTGAACCACATTAAAATTTTCATTATCATTATTCTATTCATTTTTAATCAAACATTTTTCAATAGAATAATATTTTCTATCATATCAATAATTTTTCCTTCTTTTTCAACCACGTATTTTCCTTCAATCTACTGTTTCAAAATATATTCTTTCAAAATAATGTGGCTCAAACCCACCCTTGAACATGTGGTGACGGAGAAGATCATGAAAAGTTGTTGACTTTTAGCCTTCCACAAAATGTCGTCATTAATGACGATGATAGTTAGGTTCATTTCAAGCTCATTTGTGAACTGCATTATTGGTGTTCAATTAAAAAAAAAACATAAACCTCCCAAAAAAAAAATTATTTAAATCTTAATATTTTTATCTTAACATATCAGAAGTTTCTAGGTTCAAATGATGTTCATTTTATTTAATTTTATTACTCTTGTTCTTGATTTTGTGGTTCGAATATGATGAAATACATTTCTACAATCTTGATTCTAATTAAAAATAATCTTCTTTTACTTTAAAAAGTGAACTAAACCATCATTTAAAATTTTAAACTTTTAAATATGAGATGGGTTTGTTTATTTATTGACCAGATATCCTCACATTCATCCGATCCTCATTTTTCTTCGAAAGTAAGGTAGAATCTATGGGTCAATTTTTCATCGAGTAATGGCAAATTTGAATTTGAAATTTGTCATTTTCATCTCAAATTAAACCATCTCGTATAAAAAAATTACTATTAAAAGATGAACTTGTTTATGGTTATATATTCTCAAAATTATACATATAACACACATTGATGGAAAAATGAATAAAATATGTAGGGTACTGAAGACATAAATAAATATTTCCATGTCCAAAAGAAAGATTAGGTGTTTAATTCATATTTTTATTTGACTTTTCTGTTTGACTAGCAATACCATCTTGCTTGCGAGTGAGAGTAAACATAACGTCACTCTTGAGTCAAAAATGCCATAAAAAAATCAACCATTTTTCTTATATTTGAAAATTTTGAAAAATGCATAAAAGTAAACCCCCAAAATAACGAATTAACAATATATAAATCCCGAGCTAGAATGATACTCAATAATCGAGTTTATAAAGTATCTTTTTAATTTTTGAAAAAGTGAAAAAATAAAATGAATTACTTCAAAAAAGAGAAACAAAGTTCACTTATTCATGAATTGGGATGTTTTTGAAGTCAAATATTAAGGACCACACGAGTTTAAAGACATGTTTGCTACTTCTTTGTCTCAAATGGTAAATTATAGAGAGAATGAATTTTCTAAAGATATAAATTGCTTCCGCACATATCTTTGTGCACAATTAAATTTTACCATTTTTTATTAAAGTGCATCGTACACAAATATTTTATAAATGGGTATAGCTAGACTCATTTGTAAGACGTTTTTCTACTCTATTGTTGAACTAATTTATTTAAAAATTTCATGTTGTTAGAGAAAAATCTCTAATGTATTTATTTAATTAGTCTTCGTCAGATTGAATTTTCTCGTTGAGACGATTAAGGGTTGATCGGACCGTGCAAGATAGATACGACTTAAACCAAGGCAAGTAAATCTTTGCAGAAATTTTGAAAATTTTTTTTCGAGCATTTACTAATAAAGAAAAATAAATTAAGAACGTGGTCACCAACTTTGCAACTCGATTTATCTTACACGGATAGTCTAATCAAGTGTGTGTATGAACTTGTTAGTTCTCGATCTGGATGTTTGAATATTGTACGAACTTTATCTCCAATACTTGAAATAAAGGCGTCGATTAGGGGTGGGCGCGGGTCGGTTCGGTTCGGTTTTTTTCGGCTCCAGAAATTTTCGGGTAGTTAGTTCATGGAAACGTCGGTTCCAAATATAATTTTGGAACCGTTCGGATTCGGTTCGGTTCTATTCGATTCCGTACTATAATTAAATTTTTTAATATTTAAAATAATACTACATAAATACACCTGAAAGTAGATACTAATATTAATAACAAAAAGTAGATATAAATACCAAGTTCAATCTTAACTTTTACAAATTAACGTAATCTAATTTAATAACATATAAATAATAAGTTGTCAAATACAAATACGAAAAAGTAAATATTACTAATAAAATTTCGATAATTCATATCAATAATTCATTTGCTTCAAATATTCAAGTCTACATAAAAATGAAATATAAATTAGAAATAATAAAGATAAAATATTTTAAAGTATTGATAATACTTACCAACTATTTAATGTAATAATTAGTTGCTTGACTTTCCATACTAACTATTAAGAGACTATACAAAAAAATATTGAAAAAACACAACTAACAAACATAAATAAACTCTAAATTGTTCAACTAATAAGATTTAATAAGAAAAAAATTATTAATTTATTTAGAAAAAATAAAAGAAATTGATTTATCCAATATAAAAAAAAATCGGTTCTTATTCGGTTCTTCGGTTCTGGGTCTAGAACCAAGAATCGAACCAAACCATTCGGTTCTCGATTCGGATACCCGTTCCGGTATTTCATTTAAAAAAAAACCCGCTCGATTCGGTTCGGTTCGGACATTTTGCCCAGCCCTAGCGTCGATATGTATTCTTGTTTTTCCTTCGATGCTTAAGTTAAAGAGATAATTTATGTGAAAGGTTATATGCTAGAAATTATGTAAAAGCACACATGAATTAATGAACTTGATCCTGTATTTATAGATGTTGGTGATGGAGCTTTAAGAGGATCCAACCTCCTGTAGTCATTATCCTTATCATGTAAGGTGTTTGTGTTATATTGAAAGTGCTCTATTTAAGTTTGAATCAAACTTATGGTAGGTTGGCAGTTTGGATTAGGATAAAAGTTATGGAGAGTCACAATCAGAGTTGGATTAATGTTTCTTAAAGGTACTATATAAGGACAAGGTAATCGTTATCGCAGAGCATAACCCCGACCTATAAGGCCCGACCTCAACTTTTAGCCCAATTCTTGCATGGATATTTTGGTGGAGGTGAGATCGGGCTTATGAGCTCGAGTTTGGAGGACATCATATTTTCTCGTATCACTGGCCCCCGTTCATCCAGATTGCAGCAAATGGTTATGTAATCAAGCTGTGAGGTGAGATGCAAGGAGGTTGAGAAGCTTAAGGTCGAACTCCATTGTTGATTGTGGTAATAGGTACGTGTTTGACACTTGTTGGATGCGTGTAAGGTAGGGAGCAGGCGATATTGAATGATTGTCACGTGGCACGAATCCAAAGGCCAGGATTGCACGACGTTTGACCTTCATAAGACCCCTATAAATACCCTATTTTTACCCCTCATTTTTCACCCTCAACTCTCAGTAAAAGTAGTTCGAGTTTGAAGCTAGTGGGTTTTGTGAGCAACCACCTTAAGAGGTAAGTGTTCGAACCTTTAAGTTATTTATTTAATATTAGTATAATGCCAAGTGGCAGCAGAAAGGGGTCGAGTGATAGTAGTAGTCGTTCTTCTAGGAGCTCGAACTCTAGTAGCCCCGAGGGCGCAGGTATGTCCCTTATTCCCATTGTCGTACCTGTGAGCTCGTTCCCTGAGGACTGGATAGTTTTGACCTTCCCCAAAGAGTAATCGAGGTATAAGGAATACATAATTGTTAAGACGGCTAGCGAGTTCGGGGTCATGCCCCTACGTGACGTTAAGGCCACCGAGCCGACTGAGACAGCACTAGATGCTCGAGATGGGGATATGACTTTTTTTAGTGATGCACTGCCGAACTTCGGTGGCCTCTCCACCCGTTCTTCATCCACTTCCTGACTTCCTTTTTCATGTGTCGGAACCAACTAGCCCTTAATGGGTGGAGACTCTTGATATACTTTATTATTTTATGTAGATGCCTCGAGGTCGAGCCTAGGCTTGATCTCTTGAAGATGGTTTTTGACATGAGATTCTCGCAGGCGTACAACTGGTTCGTGTACTTGTCTACAAAAAAGTGGTTTAGAACACCTGAAACCCCAACCTCACTTTAAGGTTGGAATAAACATTTCTTTTCTGTAAAGCCTCAAGACCTCGACAATCCATTTAGCCCGAAGTGGGAAATCCCTAATAAGGACAGATTTAATGAGGGTCACAAATACCTCGAGGCTTTAGAAATTGATAGGCTGAAGTAATAAACATGATCCTTTTGCAACAAAAATTGTTCATCTACTTGAGGATGACACCTTCGGCCTTCCCAACGTGAGGGACATCGAGGGTATGATCTTTATCATCTTTTATTTTTCCGTGCATTTCCCTGAACTTGAGATCAAGCTAATTTGTTCAATTTTTGTAGAGTTAGAGATGTCTTTCGATCATTCCAAACTCCTCGCAAACGTCCACCGCAAAGCCAAGGGCCCGAAGCCTAAGGTACCCCGTCTCATTTCTCTATGCCTAGTCGTCGAATGCCCTGAAGAGTGAAGACCATCTTCTTTTTGAAGACTCTTGACTTGAGTTTTCATTTTTCAATCCTTCGGGTAAGGTTAAATTTCTCATCAGATTCAAAAACATGGAAATGTTGGCAGTTTTAAAATCCTATATAGCCTGTGCCATTTTTTTGTTTCTGCAGTCAAATTTTTA